ACAGCAGAGCCTGCAGTGTGGTCAGGGAGGGAAATGCTGCTGAGGGAGCTGCTCTGAGCTCATTTCTGACTCCCCAGCTCTAACCCCTCTCTCCCCTGTTCCCCCAGAGCTGTTCTACACCGAGCGAGCCCACGTGCGCACGCTGAAGGTCCTGCACAACGTTTTCTACCAGAGGGTCACCAGGGAGGGCATCCTCAGCTCCAGYGACAAGAGGAAAATCTTCTCCAACCTCGAGGATATCCTTGGGCTGCATGGTAGGAGCAGCTGGAATTSTGGGGTCAAATGGCTGGAAAATTGAAGCAAAGTGACTCTGGAACATGAGGCAAATTCGCACAATATTTGAGATAAATCACAATTGCACAGGACACTACCCTGGGTTTCTTTTTGTTCACTCTTGCTCCATTCCTGATTTACAAAGATATTTTGATGAGGAATCGTGTTCAGYGTTCCCTTATCAGTGTTCCTTATCTCTGCTGATTCATACTTGATAAAAGAAACACTGAGCTTTTTAGGTCAGCATTTGAGACGTTACACTTGTTCTTGAAGAGAATATGAAAACAGGTTTGATAAAGATTGATGTTTTTCTGGTTTTTCTRTTGTTTTTTTGAAGGGTGGCCCCTGATTGTTTAGGAAAAGGACTGCTCCCAGGAGGAATTTCAGTTACTGGATAATCATCTGTGTGGTTTTACAGCTTGTGTTCCACATTTTTCCTGGAAGGGTTCTTAGGAATAAGAACCATTAGGATTACTAGAATTGATTCTTAGATTACTTAGGAATGAATTATTTTAGGGATCAACTTAGGAATAAGTTCATAGGAATCTAAAGAATGGTCTTCATTTGATGACAGATGAGACAGAAGAGCAAAGGAATTAAATCACATTATATTAGCTATTCTAAAYTTTTTAAGCTTCAGTACATTATTAGTAGAAATTATTTCAAATCAAATCTTTTCCTAGAACAGCTTTTATGTTAAATGCTGAAAAATAAGCAATTTGACCACTATTGATAAAATTTACTCTTTTTTTTCTTGTTTTTAAGTTGCACTGAACGATCAGATGAAAGCTATCCGGAAAAGGAACGAGACTTCTGTCATTGGCCAAATTGGGGAAGATTTGCTCTCTTGGGTAAAATTTTTTTAATATTTCTTATGAATGTTTCATAGAGTGACCAACAGAGGCAGAGCTTGGTGAAGGCAGTGAGAGCTGAAGGTCTGGGAGTTGTCATTTCTCTGGAGCCAAAACAGAGCTGGAGGATGAGGGCAGGAGAGGATTTTCATCTGGCAGGAGATAAGAGTCATTTAAGGAACAGAAATAATTTCTTTAGAATGCGTGGGTAGAATAGAAAGGTACTTTTGGAGACATAAAGGTGAGAGTGGGATCCTGAAAAACGGAGAGGCACAATTTGTTTCAGTAACACTGAAATGTGAGCTTTGTGTTGCCTGCGGTGCAGTTCAAAGATGGTTAAAAATACTGATTTCTAATCTTAGAATGTACAGAGCTGAGTTCTTTGGAGTTTATAGTGCTGCTGCAGGCTTCACTTTGGAGATCTTTATGGAAAGGTTTGGCTGYCCCATCCCTGGMAGTGTCCAAGGTCAGGTTGGACAGGTTTTGGAGCACCCTGGGACAGTGGAAKGTGTCCCATGGTAGGAGGTGGATGAGAAGAGCTTTAAGRTCCCTTCCAAMCCAAACYATTSYGGGATTCTGTGATGTTTGAGGGCTGGATTCAGAAAGCTGTGGAGTTTGAGATGTGAAGGGCTTGTCCTGGAGGACAAATCCTTAAACCAGGGCAGAAATATTTCCTGGTGTTCCTTCAGCAATTCCTTTGCTCCCTGGTGAGCCCAGTCCACTCAGTCTGGCACGGGCTGAACTCCAGCCTGTCTGAACTTGGCTTTTTTGTCTTTCTGGCACAGTTTAGTGGAGCAGCAGAGGAGAAGCTGAAACTTGCCACTGCCACCTTCTGCAGCAACCAACCCTTCGCTCTCGAGGTCATCAAATCCCGCCAGAAGAAGGACTCACGCTTCCAGACCTTCGTGCAGGTGAGTTTCCCACAGGGCTTTGTGTTTTTTCCACCAGGCTTTTGAGTTTTTTTCCACCAGGCTCTTGAGTTTTCTCTACCAGGGTTGAAGCTTCTCCACCATGGTTTGAGTTTTCCACAGGGGTTTGAGTTTTCTTCACCACCTTTTTCATTAGGGTTTGAGTTTTCCACAGGGCTTTGAGTGTTCTCCACCAGGCCTTGAGTTTTTCATCAGGGTTTGAGTTTTACACCAGCCTTTGAGTTTTCTTCACCAGGGTTGAAATTTCTCCACCAGGGTTTGAGTTTTCTACAGGGCTTTGAGTTTCTCCACCAGGATTGAAATTTCTCCACCAGGGTTTGAGTTTTCTACAGGGCTTTGAGTTTTCTCCACCAGGCCTTGAGTTTTACATCAGGGTTTGAGTTTTCCACCTGAGCTGCCCCAGGCTGTGACTGGGGACCAGCACAGCCCAAAATTTTATCTAAGACCAGCTCTTAGATAAAATTCCGATAATTAATGACATTAATTAATGGCATCATGCCCAACACTGCCCTCAGCTCAGGATCATTTCCAGTGCTGTGTTTATCTCTCCTGATGGTTTCTGGAGGGTGAAGCCTTCAGTTTTGGGGAACCCAGATTGTCCTGCTGGAGTGCAGGGAGGCACACACTGTCCCAGGCAGGAGATGCCATYGATGCCACTTTTGTGGGGCTCAGGGTGCCAGGGGCAGCAGAGAGGTGCCCACCAGCAGCAGGGTTTGCCWCTGGATGGCATTTCCAGCAGGGAACATCATCCCCATTAGCACATCAGGAATCTGGCAGTCCAAGGGGAGCTGCTGTTGGCTGATGTGCCACATTTGAGAGGCTGAACTGACTGAGATGGATCGAGGATGGGCCCCTGCCCATGGGGAGTAATGAGGGAAGGAAGGAGCAGTTTCAGTGATGAGCGTTTCCTGCGGGTAATTGCAGCTGGAGGGGGGATGTGTTGTCTGCCTGATGGATCTTGGCATCCCTTGTCTTGTATTTAATTACTGCAAAGTGAAGTAATAGATGTTGAAGTGATGAATAGATGTTGTGCATGCAGGTAATTATGGCCTTAATAAAAATGACAAATGCAGATCTCGTGCTGTTGAAATTTAGGATGCTGAGAGCAATCCCCTGTGCCGGCGGCTGCAGCTCAAGGATATCATCCCCACGGAGATGCAGAGGTTGACAAAATACCCCCTTCTGCTGGATAATATTGCTAAATACACAGGTAAAGCCTTTCCCTGGGTTTTGGGCACCCACCTCACCAGCCTTTCTTGGTAAATGTGTTAAATAGCACTTTCATTCTACATCTCTCTCTGTTTTTGTTGCAACCTCACTGCTGCCTTCTGCACAGAGCGTTTTAAAAAATAATAATAAAAAGGAAAATCAGGTATTTGTTCCTCCTTAGGAGAATAAAAAGGAAATTCAGTGTGAAATAAGTGAATCTGTCAAAGCTCTGAGGCAGCACACAACATCCTCCTGCTCTTGTAGAGGGTGGGGTTTGATTAGGATGGGTTACAATAAAAGATTCTCCCAACACAACAGGTAAAAATGTGATAAATAATCCCACAAAACGCCTCTCCAGCTTTACTATCTGATACCTGCTGCAGTGTAATTCCATTACTCGTAAAAATAGACTGCAGCTACAAGTTCCCTCTAATCCTAATTAGGAAAGCATGTGATACTCCATTATCTTTGATGTACTGGTTTATGTTCCTGTTAACTGAATTTTCACTGTGACGGCTGGTGCTAGGGAGAATTGATGGGTTCACCTGTGCCTGTGCTCTTAGGGAAGATTTTAGGTTTCTCAGATTATTTGAATATTTGTCACAGGCCCTAAAAAAGGGAGAGAAACAGTTGTATTATATGTAATGATCTGCAGGTCACAACCAATTCTCTCTTGGCATAAATCTGATTTTTATCACTTTTGCACACAGTGCTGTTGTTGGTGGAGTTCTCAGTGAATTTAACCCCTCTCTCTCTGGTTTGAGGTCAGCACTAGAGGTCTGGCTTGTCCAGTCTTTGCTGGGGAACACTGTCACACTTTGTTTTATCCCTGCAGAGCTGCCTGAGGAGAAGGAGAAAGTCAAGAAAGCAGCAGATCATTGTCGCCAGATCCTCAACCACGTGAACCAGGCGGTGAAGGAGTCRGAGAACAAACAGGTGAGAGGGGGCACGGTGAACACCAGGGCTGGGGGCAGCAACTCTGAGGGGTTTTACTGCTCCAAGTGACCATTCCTTCACATTTTCTGCAGCATTTGGAGGATTATCAGCGGAGACTCGACCTCTCCTACTTGAAACAGTCCGAGGATCCCATGATGGATGAGTTCAGGGTGAGTGAGAGCATTAAAGCCAGCCCTGTGTCMATTCTGTTTGCAGCTCTGTCATTCRGTTTGTGCTCCTTCTGATCAAGTGSTCTTTGGAGATAAATATTTCTGTATGAAAATGAAAACAATTAACCGCAGAAATGAGTGTTTTACCACCTTCCTAAAGGTTTTTGTGGCTTTAACAACCCAGTTCTGCACATAATGGTGCTGATGGAGCTTKTCAGCTCTGTGGAACAAATCTTTATGGCCTGCAAGCTCAAGCACTGTATCACAGAAGAGAAATCTGATGGATAATGAGGGTTGTTGGGGATATTTATCTCATGTGAGTGCATGTCTTAGTGATGTTGCTGGAGCTGRGGAGGCCTTGGAGAGCCCTGAGGTGTAACAGTGGAATTGGCTTTAAAAGAAGAGCTTGTACAGARCAAAGCCTGAAGTCCAGTTTAAAAATACTCAGGCTCCTGTAAATTCCTGTCGTTTTGTAAGTGAAGCTGATTACCTGCTGGTTGCTTCCCCATCTTCCTCAAAGTCAGAGTGTATAAAAAAAAAATACCTATCAATCTGTGTCACATATCCTCCCCCAAATAAACTTGCAAGCATTCAGTGAGGAGAGGAAGAACTTCCTGGCAGCTACGAGATCTCAACTGTCATTGATTGTAGACTCTGAGACTTGGAAGGGATGAATTGTGAAAATTGTCACTTCTGCTCGCCTGCAGATCTAAATGTCACAAGCACTGAAGTGCCTGAAGAATCCATTGACATTACAAATCCCGTCAGATCAGCGGGATGATTTGGAAATCATTTGTAGGCATTTGAAAATCATTTGTAGGCATTTGAAAATCATTTGTAGGCACGCTCGACTTGCAAATCAAGGGCTGGAGCATTAACCAGTTGTAATGCTAGAGCTGACTGGGGGATGTTGGGAAAGCTCCTCCCAGGAACCTGGTGACATCCTGAAGCTCCAGGAGCTTGRCTTGGTGGGGAAGTTTTCCATCCTTTGGCACTTGGCACATGGAAAAAAGTGGTGGAAGGGGAAGAAGGATAACCAAGATTTCCAAATCTCCCAAGATTTTGGGTTCCCTGCTCTGTGTTCCTTTTCCCAGCCCAGGTTTAGCTGTTTGTCTCCAAGCTGGAGTCCCTCTGGCATTCCTGTGTTTTATCATGGCTTGCTTCCATAGAAATTTCATTTTTTTTCTTTCCCCTGCTGACAGAACCTGGACCTCACAAAGAGAAAAATGCTCCATGAAGGGCCCCTGACTTGGAAGGTGAATCGTGACAAAACCATCGGTGAGTCTGGGCCATCTGGGTGTGTTTGCTGGGAAGGAGAGCAGGGAAAAGCTCTGCTSCAGCTCCCAATTATGCTTCTTACTGCCACCTCTAATAATGCCAGCGTGCTCCTCYGAGCTGATTAAATTATTCTTGTCAATCCTGAGATGTGCTGGAGTATCATTAGGGCCACGCAGGGACACAGCAGTCAGTCATGAGCTGATCCAATTCCATCTGTAGCTTTCTGCCCGAGTTTTCACAAGGAAAGATTTGCAAGCTTTGCCTGGAATGGCACAGCACTGATTGCTGCCTCTGCATGAGTAATCAGAAACGCAGTTTTTGCTTTGCTGATGGGAATCTTTTAACTCATTCCCGGGGCTCTTTTTGCAGATCTGTACACTCTGCTGCTGGAGGACATCCTGGTGCTGCTGCAGAAACAAGATGACAAACTGGTGCTGAAGTGCCACAGCAAAATCCTGGCATCCACAGCTGACAGCAAACACACCTTCAGCCCCATCATCAAACTCAACACCGTGCTGGTCCGTCAGGTGGCCACAGGTCAGTGCAGCCTGGCCACAAAACCAAGGGAAAAGCCAAAAATAAAAGATGAGCTCAGCTGAGGATGGATGAGTTTTGTGTCGAGTTTGAGAACACGGGAAACTGCGTAGGCTTAATTCTTGGTTGTCCAACATCGTGCTTAGTATGGATGAGCTGTTTAAACTTCTTTGCATCAGTAATAGGCATTGCTCGAGTTTTAAATAGACTTCTAAATGAAAGTACTCTGATTGTGGTAGAGGGAAAGCGCTCTGGAAATTATTAGAAGGAAAAAGAGGAGAAATGAAGCTTTTTTAAGATGGTTTTGAGATGGGTTTTTCCTTGGAGGGCAAATTTCTTTGATAGGGCAAGGTCAGTGTTTCTTTATTAGTGTTGGGTGTTATCTCATGGACTCCTCTTCCCTTGCTTTGGGCTGGGGKCATGGCCTGGAGGAATTTTGGGAAGCTGTGTGGGCCCTGGCAGTGGTTTAAACTCTCTCTTCCCTGTGTTGRTGCAGATAACAAAGCTTTCTTCGTCATCTCCATGTCAGAGAACGGCGCTCACATCTACGAGCTGGTGGCACAAACTGTCTCAGAAAAAAATGTGTAAGTACTGCTTCAATTCCAGCTGCTGCCTGGTKTGTTGTACCTGAGAGACCTTCACTCCTGAAATTCCCTGAGTTTCTTCAAAATCATCTGAAAACGTGGTGATCTCTGTAGGAAACATCCAAGCAAAGTYCCTCCCTCCTGGCTCACTCCAGACCCTTTTCTGACCTTACAAATGCTTTTTCTCGCCCTTCAAATTCTATTGTTTTGTGTCTGAGTGCCACAGATCAGACACAGAAATTATCCTGCATCTTCATGCAGCACCAGAGACCTTTGCAGATTTACATTCTGGCATCAGAAACACCCCGCTGCAGGAATCCCAATCCGTGGCTAAAAGCTTTATTTCCTCTTTGGGAGAAACTCTTTTCTCCCAAAGTATCAGCAGGGATAGATTTGTTTATGGAATTCATGGCTGTTGTTGCAGTGTGACAATTCAGTAATCTGTGAAATAATGCTTTTGTATGGATTTATGGATGAAATAACTGGTTGATCTGACAAGTGATAAGGTCCTGTCTTATCATTTTTTACCTGCTGAAGAGCATCCAGGTGAGCTGAGCTTTAAGTGCTGATTGCAGGGTGCTCCTGGGGGAATTGAATGTAACAGAACTTACAAAAAATGACATTTCTGTTGACAAAAAAAGAGGCAGTAATAACATTAACTGGATTTAAGAGGATTAAATAGAGACATATTCCTTCTGCTTCACTTGCTGCATGGTTTTATTTGCTGTTTCTGCTGCAGCTGGCAAGATCTCATAGCTCAGATGGCAGGAACTGTGAAGATGGGGAGCAGCAGAAGAGTRATTCCCTTGCCTCAGTCAGGCCCTGGAGAGTAAGTCAAAGCAGCAGGAAGAAGAAGAGCTGGCTTTTCTTCCCCCAGCACCCTTTTTCTTGCTCAAAAATCTGTCCTCCAAAGCACAGATTCCCCTGCAGTCCCCGACGTGACTGAAAGGCTGTGTTTGTTCTTCCCTCCCTGCAGAGAGGAGCGTGAGGAAGAGGAGCAGCAGAAGCTCAAAGAGCAGCATGACATTCCTGCCAGCAGCCTGCAGAGCCCAGGTAAAACTGGAATTTGGGGGAAATAGCATCAGATTTGCTCTGTGCAGTGCAGGTGTGCCCAGCTGTGTTCCTGGTGGCTTGGGGATCCTGGGGCAGCTTTGAGGTTTTTGTGGGAAGGGGTGATTTCTTTACCAATCATTCAGAGAGAAGTGATGCTGAACCTCTTGGAAATGCACTTTTTGCTATTCCCATCTGATTTCTAAACTGCTGGGAAGATTTATTAACCCATTGGAAGAACTGCGTGTTAGCAAAGCCATGCTCATTGTTTTCAGAGTTGAATTTTCTCCGATTTATCTTCACTGTTTCACCTGAATTTCTGTTTTCTCTCCTGCAGATAAAGATCTGGGCCTGGAGTCTCCCTTAATCCTGAACCCTCAGTCTTCTTCACCTCTCAAGGCCAAGGTGGAGGGGCTGCTGGGCYCTGAGGGGCAGTTTGAGAAGGTGCAGCAGGCAGAGCTGGCACTCAAGGACTCCTCTGCCTGCTATGAACACACAGCCACCGGCTCAGCCTCGGTGCCAGAGGGGCAGTGGGCACAGGATGCCCTGAGGAACTGTGAGTACCCATGGGTAGGGCCCGCTGGGGTGGGATTTGGAGGTGGAAATGGTTTAAAAAAGCCCATTTCTATGAATTATCAATCCCCCCGTGGTGGATTTCACACATGGATGTGACGGCGAGGAATTCAGAATTCACACACTGCCCCTTCTGTGTAGGCATCTCCTTGTTTTCCTGGTTTTTTTTTTATATAAAATGGGGGTGATAACSGATTTTTACTGTCCATGGAGTGCTTTGATGACAAAATTATATAGCAGAACTTAGTGTGCAGTGGCCATTGCTGGTCAGCAGTTTTTAAATAAAGCACTCAGCCCTGTACTTAATTCCACAGCACTGGAGCAGAACAGGAGAGCTTGCAGAACAAAATTTTTTTTTTTTTTTTTTTTTTTTTTTTTTAAAATCCTTCAGATTAAGCTCACACATATCCAAAGCCCAGGTTCAGATTTCCTGAGCCCTCAGGAGGTGGTTGGGTATAATCAGATCAACACTTGGTGCGTGTTGAAGTTTTCCTGATGGACASATCATTGTTGGAAATGGTTTGGGGAGGTTTTTAATCACTTCCTCTGCTCTCCTTTCAGAGGAGTTCAGGGCTCTGCAACCTGCTGGACCAGCTCTGGCAGTGCAACTCCTAAATATAACTTCCTGAAATTTGAATGAATTCATTAATCTGGAGATCTCTTCTTGGCAGCTCTGGAAGGGACACCAAGTCCCTGGGTTGTACTTGGAGGGAAGGATCCGTGGAATATTTGCTTTTACCCAAATGCAGAGCTCTCACATCCTTGGCCCCAATTGCCTCTTCCATCTCTCTATCCAAGCAGTGACAGTTCCCTGCACTCTCAGAGTTATCTCGGATTTTTTAATCCATTTATTCTCCCTCTTAGAGGATTCAAAGTTCTTTTCTAGTTCTGAGTGTTTTTTCCAATATTCTTGGTGTTTGTTTTAAGAGACCAAAGCTAAAGTAATTTTAGTTTGGGGGGGTGTGAGGACAGAATTAGTGACCCTACAGCATCTGCTGAGCGTTGAGAATTAAAAAAGCAGCTCCCTCACATTGTGACAGGAGCCTGAGCTGAGTGACTGTTCTGCTGAGTGACATCACAGCTTTTTTTGGGTGTTGCAAGAGCGTTTTGTGGTGAGGATGAACAATCTGAGGCTCTTGACAGCAGCACGTTTTTGTTTGGAACAATGTGTCCCTATTATGAAGTGTTTGGTTGGGATAATTTGGGAACTAAAGGAATGTGGGTTGAAGTTCAACCAGGCATAAATTTGCATGAAATTTAATGTTCCTTCAGTTTTTTTTTTTCTTTTCACTCTGTCATTTCAAACCTGAGCGGAATATTCCCGTTTTCCTCGAGGTGGGAATCCCCTGCCACAGCCACAGCTGTGAGCTTTGCAGGGTAAAACCCAGGCACTCAGGATAATTCCTGGAGACAATTTCTTTATTTTTCTCCAAGGAGACACAACTCACCCTGACATATTTGCAAGGCAAAACAACGAGCAAGGCTGGTGATGCCTTATCAATCAGGCTAATCTGAAATAGAGGCCACACAAACTTAAGAGAATGAGAATAGATAACTTTATTAGAGGTTTAACAGGGTTGCTGGTACATTAGGGCAGACAAAGCCTCCTCCTGAGGCTACACCCAAAATGGACCCTGAGTCATGAGATCTTCACCTTTTTAAAGTTCTGCCTTATTAACAGATTGGGTCTTAATTCTCCAATGATATTTTCAGGTGATGATGTCAACCACCCCAAACTTGCTCTCCCCAATTCTCTGTTGTTTCCATATTTTGGGTCTCTGAGGTGTCCTTGGATTCAGGCTCAGAGAGRAATTGTTTTGYCCAAAGATGGGAGAACAGTTTTAGTRCTATACTAGAGAAWTACAMGAATACAGATRCATGAAAATAGAGAAACTGAAAATYCTCRATACATTTATTTTTATCCCTGTTTTTACCACCGGGAGGAAGTCACACCTCAGTGAGAGGGTGACCTTTGTGTCCTCTTTAACCCCTGGGGTGCTGGGGAGCTCTGTGAGCGTTCCCTGAGCCCTGCCTGTCCTTGCAGTGGGGCTGCTGCGACAGCTCTTGGTTCAGCAGCTGGGCCTGGCTGAGAAGGGCACCCTGGAGGACAGACAGCGCCTGCCCAGGCTCAGGAACACATCCCAGGAAACTCAGAGYGACAGCAGCACCGCAGAACCCTCGGACACGAAATCACAGCTGCCCGGAGCAGGCAGAGCCCTGGGCAGAACTGCAGCGGGCACGGGCGGGCACAGCCCCCGGACTGCAGCCCAGTGCCCGGCCCCCGGGGATGGCAGCGAGCCCACGGCCAGCGGGGCTTTGCCCATGGACAGCACCATCCTGGAGGGTTCCAGCTCGGAGCTGGAGGGGCTGGGGGCTGATGAGAGCGGGGAGCGGTTCTTCGACGCGCGGGAGGCTCACAGCGATGAGAACCCCACAGGGAGCGAGCTGCCCGACGGCAAGGAGGACGAGGAGGTGCAGATCCGGATCTCAGGTGAGCCYCTCCAGCCCCACACTGAGCCCTTCRTGTTTATCTTACACAGGGATAGGTAATCCCAGCTCCCAGCCTCAAAAGTCACAAACATGGGCCTGATCAATTCTGTGTTTTATGAAGGAGAAGCTGAGGTGGAACAGTCTGGAATTGCAGAGGCACCAGGCATGAGCCAAACCCTCGATTGTRGCTGTCCTGGACCACCAAAACATTCTCCCTGAAGGCAAAGCCCTTTTTTTGAAGCTCTTTTCCTGATCAAGCTTTAGAAWAGAAACTCAAGACTTTAATTTTACACTGTAATGGTTACCTGTTACCATACCCCACTCTGAAGCTCTTAAAAGCTCATTATTTTATTGTTTTTATTATTGCTACACATGGGCTATTTGACAGCTACCTGAGCACACCAAACCCAGCACTGAAGCTGAGGTTTCTCTCATTATTTTATTATTTTTATTATCATTGCTACACATCTCATTATTTTATTATTTTTATTATCATTGCTGAACATGGCCTGTTTGAATTTACCTGAGCACACCAAACCCAKCACAGGAGCTGAGGTTTCTCTCCCATGCATTTTGTRGTTGGAGTAGCTACTATGAGGTGAATTCAAGACAAACAGTTATATAGAAGTCTCTTAGCCATAAATATGCTTTTATTTGAAAATTGGATTATATCCACGTGGATAAGCCAATTTGTGACTGCCCCAATGTGCTGCCTTCCGACTACATCTTGCAAATAATTTTTCTCACTGAGACATTTTGAATTATTAAAACTGAGCCAACAACTCRAAGCATCTAATTTATTTGTCACCTCTTCCACTGTTTACTTTTTTAACTGTGCGGGGACATTGAAATGAGATTGATCTGTTTTTAGTCAAACCTCAGTCCCCTGTGCTGTGGTATTGTCGAGAAATTCATTAAACAGAATCCCWTTGCTGGGTGCAGGTTGTGAAAGCGTTTTTCTGTCTGTAATTACTTAATTTTTTAGCATATCAGCAAGCTCTGTTTGAAACCTCAGCTGTCTGCAAGCATCCTCAGAGCCAGAGAAATCAGATTTGTCAGGTGCCCTTAGTGCAAGGGTTTGTCATAGAAACGGAGATTTGGGGCAAGCAGGGAGCTGGGGGATGARCTCAYGGAATATCCTGAGTTGGAGAGSACCCARAAGGATCAGAGTCCAAGTCCTGTCCATCTGATTATGAAATTTTTTAATAGATCTGTTCTCTAATGATGGAGATTTTTAACAGTGTAAAAACCAGCCCTGATCTGTGAGCCTGTTCAGAGCCAACCTGGCCTGACACCGTCACTGTCCTTTGGAGTTCAAAATGTCTCAGGAGATGTTCCTGCCCCACTTTAAAGCCTCCTCAAACTCCCTCCAGCCCTGAATCTTCTGGARGATTCCAGACTCAACCCCATTCTCTCCACAGGAAATTATTTGATCCTCGATGGATATGGAACGGTGCAGGAGAGCTCCACGGACGAGGAGGTGTCAGCCCTGGTCCTGCAGTGCACCTCRCACAGCCAGCCCTCCCTGGACTGTCCCCAACAGCAGCAGCAGCAGCCCCTGTCCCCAAGGGACCCCCAGTCGGATGGGGGCAGCTCCCCCTTTGCTGAGGAGCTGCTGGGCCCTCGCTGGACGGGGCTGGAGGAGCCCTGTCCCTTCCTGGGCAGCCCCCAGCTCCCTCTGGACATCCGTGTGCAGCTCATGCAGTACATCCAGAACATCGAGGATGCCCTGGAGAAGCTAAAGGTACATGGCTATTATTATTATTATTATTATTATTATTATCATCATCATCATCATCATCATCATTATTATTATTTTAATATTATTATTATTATTATTATTAATTCTCTTCTACTGTCGCTGCTGGCCAAACAGCGACAAAAAACAATAGATACAAAACACACAAAAGTGGGTGAAAAAAACCAGAAAGAAAGAAGGACTTTATTGTGGGACAAGCCTCTTTTATCCACTTTAGCAA